ACTATTCGCATCTTTTTCTTTTTGAAGTTTGAATGAAAAAACAATCACGAACTGAAAAATTGAATTTGAGTGTATTATCCGTTCGCTTTTCCTTCAATTTTAATGTGTTTCTTTTCTGTTTACATAGGCAGCAATCATCTTCATAGACAACGTTTACTTTTCCTATTATTCAGTAACAACCACACGACATATGAATCGTCCTTATACATTACACTTGAACATCGAGAGAAATGAACGTACCCGTCGATCACATATCGTTTTACAGATGAATCTATTCAAAGAGATATGTGTACAGACGAACAATATGTCGTGTCCTGATGCACGTGCGATATGTTTTCTTCAACACTTCAACTCTATCATACTTGACACATGCATAAGTTAATAGAAACCATTCTGTGTTGTCAGAAAGGTCATGTAGTGATTATGGAATTGATGAAAATAATCTGAAAAGTACATATCCTAATAATAACTATTTTCAATTATTAACCTATCGGTTCATCATCGATGGAGTTTTATCTGAATACTTGAAGCTATATTCATTCTAATGATAAACGTATGCTAGCTAAAATTAAAGTGTGCTTATTGAGATTCATCAACAATTGATGGTTTGAGATTGTAAAAGAAATTCAATTTAATCATCATGCTTCGTATGCGTATTGTTTCTGAAAAATGTGTATGATTGTTTCTATTAATATTTATGAAACTCCTGCATTTTAAATGTTAACTTGAGTACTATCTCAGTGTAATCTATTACATAAGGAAAATTTGTTTTTTCTTGGTTCGATCAAAATTTCTTTTATTGTCTGAAGTATTTTAGAAAAAATGATGTGATTTAATACATTATATGTAAGATGATGTTAAATAAAAATCAGTAATTCTAAAAATTCATTTTTGCAACAAGACCGTTTTCTTTTTGTTGGAACTAAATTGGCCTTTCTTATTTTGTGGAATTTATCGATAGATATATACGGCGAACATAGTAATAGAAAGAGTTGTTTACAAATTTCAAAAGCAAGAACCGATTATAGACGCAAACAAAATTTTCTGTTTTTTTGAAATACCATTTTTCAAAAAAGAATCATTATTGATGTTGTTGTAAATATGTATCTGCTATCAGCATGAGTATATTTAATAAAAAGAAAATGGTTATTTAAATCTATATTCAATTCTATAAAATCCATTCACATATTTGAACTTGTTCCAACTATCTTCACCATAGTCGAAACAAAACTAAGTCATGATGAATTTATTCGTTGTATTAGTGCTTTCACTGATAGAAATTTATTTTTTTGTCTTTCGTGCTTTTAGAATGTCATGATTCGATCAAATTCTTTTTCCAGATTAGATTCTAAAAACAGAACTCCACAACATGAAAAGAAAGAAAAAAAATTGAAAAAACTGTCATCAAAACAACAAAAAAATGTGCTTATTGAAGAAAAAAACAAAAGCATACATTCTTTTTTTCTTTCGTTTGTCACCTATTTTTCAAGGATATTTTATATTCTTGACATACGAAATTTTTTTTATCAGAGACGAAAGCAAACCAAACAAAACCTCAAAGAACATAAGGTTTAAGTTTTGACGAATACGTTTCTAGATACTGTATATAAATCGTCATAGAAAATCAATGTCTTTATTTCATTTTAGGTTTATCTGACTGAAACAGATACAAAATGAAAACTTAATTTTTAATCCAGAAGATAACATGACATTATTTGTTTGTTGAAATCAAATAATAGGTTGGAATTTATTTAACGAAAAGAAAATCATTTTATCAATTTCCTGTTGTTTACTTGAAAACAAAATAGTTATATTATTATCATCGTTGAAGAATCTAATTTTTCAGTGTAATCTCAATAACTTGACAACAGTAATTGCCAGTTGCTTGTGCCTTTCACAACCATTGAACAAAGAGAACTCTATTACAAGTCTTTTCATCTGATAGTATTAAAGAGAAAACTACTTTGTAATCTATGCTCCTTGTAAAAAATTTAAAAACATACATGAGAAAATTGTTTCATTTCAAGTAAATTTTAATGACAAAAATTTGTGCGAAGTTGTTCAATTTAATGTTCTACACTAACGATCTATTTTGAAAATCATGCTACACAGCACTTAGTATCAGATAAAACGATGTCCGATACAGTTCTCCTCTTTCAACTATTGAAATTTCTGGGTTACTATCTGTTTCTGTTGAGGAGTTATTGTATATCTGGCGATGACTCTTGTTTTCGGACACACATTAGTTATTAGTTTTACGCCAAAAACTTCAGCGCCATTATTGATTAGAGTTACCAAAACTGAAGATTACATTATACAGTGTAGAATTTGATTGTCATAAATAATATATCCATATATTTGATGTGCATCAATAAAGACGACAAGCACAAGATGATCTGTTGTACATATCCACAATTGTTGTTTTTTCATAAATGATCTAACTAACGAGTATTATATATATATATTAATAAAACGATTATTTTATTTTTTAATTCAAATTTTATTATGCATCGTGTTAAAATGAAAGAAAAGACTTTATTATATATGTACTTTTTATTTATAGAAATTTTGCTCTTATATAACTGAAATTGAGAGCTGATTGTGAATGTAGCAAATAATTATTAAATTTATTATGTCTTAAATTAGAAAAGTCTTTCAATCAATCCTATATACTTATTTTCTTATAAGACCTTATTTAATAAGTAAGAGAATTTGTTTTTCTTGTATGGAATCCTATTGAGAAGCATAAAAATCGATCAAAATATGTTAATATTAATCGAAATAGAATGTGAAAAATGATTTCGTAATTCTAAATAAAAGTAGAGGAAAATTGAACATCTTTTTTTCTGGATCAATCTATTAGTTGTAGAGATATACGTGAAAAGATTTTTATATTATCAACATCATCCACTTATTAATCGTTTTCGATAAAAAATATGTAGATTTTGTTCTAGTTAAAAAGAAAAGTATTTTTCTTGGAAATGAAAATTTAATTATTTACATAAAATAACTATGATATTTGTTAATTATATTTCGTAGAAAATAGATATTATATGGAACAGATTTTTATTAATCGACGAATAAATATTAAGATGAAATAATAATTTAAAATAATTCTAAATGTTTGTCTCAATTAAGAATTATTTTATGAATATATAAAGAAAAATATTTATTCTACGCGAGGATTTCTAATAGTGCATAGTAATCAAGAGGAAACTTTCTTTTTTGTCTGGACTGATAGTAAAATGAAAACTCTATTTTCCTATGAGATATTTATATTAATACTCATTTAGAACAGAAAGACTAATGAGTATCTTTTGAATAACTTTTCATAGAAATAAGGTAGAAAGATGCAGTGTTCACTCTTCCACAGACTAGATGACGACACATGGAATGGTATATTTTTCTCTCAGATTTAAAAAGAGATGCTGTGAAAAATGATATCTTTTTTTTTTTTTGAGCATCAATGTTAATGTAACCATCAGATATCATAATAAAATGTAAAAAAAATATATATATGTCGTAGTAGAAATTAAAATTCAGTAGAATTTAAAATTCTACTAGTAGAAATTAAAATTTCAATTTCTACTAGGAGAAATTGAAATAACCGGCGATTTTAATTTGCACTAGTGGAAATTAAAATTTTAATTTCTACTATAGGAGAATTTTAAATTCTACTAGAAACTTACACTATAGAATTATGTGAATATCTCCTAGAATAGAAATAAAATTAAACCTTGCGATCACTGGATTATTCGATTTAATGGCATAAACAACTTGTAATTCCCCAATAGTAACTAATTTAAAGTGTTTATGGAGCTAGAATTTAAATAGCTTCACCCCAACCACCTTTTATTACCGTATATGATGTCATTATAAGCAGCTTGTGTGATAACAAACTTTGAACGAAATCTTTCGCCTAAAGATTCTATATGTTTATCAAATTTCGAATAAAATGGTTCCATTTCATGTAATATTCAAGTCTTTTTTATTTTGATACTGACGCGAGAACTTCAAATTAAATATCAAAATCTTTTTTCTTTGCGTTCTACATATTGTATCATTCGAATAAGGGTTAATTTTATTTTCTATTCTAGGAAGATATTCACATAATTCTATAGTGTAAGTTTCTAGTAGAATTTAAAATTCTCCTATAGTAGAAATTAAAATTTTAATTTCCACTAGTGCAAATTAAAATCGCCGGTTATTTCAATTTCTACTAGTAGAATTTTAAATTCTACTGAATTTTAATTTCTACTACTACATATATTTAAAATTTTCCCTTTTTCTATTCTTTATCTCTATTTCAGGATATGCAGTGCATGAGTTATTACTCAAATTGACGGCGAATGTATTGTTTTTATTCGCCGTTTCATACAATCATCGTTCGTTTGCTACAATGGTGAGTGCACGACATTCAAGTTATTCTTACACATTCGAGATGAAAACTCAGACGAATTGAACATGAAATGTTTAAAGACGACAAAGATATCATGCACTCAATATTCCATTGCTTGACAAACACCGGTTGTTATCATGCGCTGCGTATTATCATTCCGTGACGTCGTCTTTTATCGCGTCTTTCCGTTTCTACTTCTTCTCGTTCTTCCGAACAGAAGAACAAAAATAATTTTCTAACTAATGGAGCTTTTGAGGGTGGCTCTAAAACAATTGAACCTTCCCAGGGATATCCGACGTTCTGTTGGTGACCCGTGCAGGCGTGCAGATGGTAGGCCTTCATAGCATACATCAATGTATGTATGAATAGAAGCGTCCATTTCGTCATCGTCTTTTCGAAGATGATGATCATGGTGGTACTATTCATACGTACATCGATGTATGTTTGCCTAACCATTGTCGGCTTTGTCCACTTTACGAGCGAGCAGAATACGGAGGGTATCTCTGGTCGCGCGTGCGCGAAATTTTGCAGCTGCTTGTTTCGGCGAGCTTAGATTTCAAGATGGCCAGTTTATTTTCTCTTTAAAAACGAAAAAAAAAAATTACATTTTCTTTTTTACATTGTCAATGTATGTTTTCACACGCGCAATATTCGGATGATTTGGAGGCAGTGATTTTCCGAAGATATCACGTGCTCTTTCCAGGGATGAAAGTGCTTTCGAGTACTGTCCCATATTCTCATACAGCAAACCGATGTTGCCATAGGGAGAAGCCAAGTCGGGATGATTCGGAGGGAGAGCTATTTCCTGGATTTCAAGTGATCGTTCATACGATGAAAGAGCTTTCGAGTACTCGCCCATGTTATAATACACCGAACCGATGTTGTTGTAGGAAGCAGCCAAGTCGGGATGATTCGGAGGGAGAGCTATTTTACGGATTTCAAGTGATCGTTCATGCGATGAAAGTGCTTTCGAGTACTCGCCCATGCCTTGATACACATTACCGATGTTGAGGTAGGAATAAGCCAAGTCGGGATGATTCGGAGGGAGAGCTATTTTACGGATTTCAAGTGATCGTTCATACGATGTAAGTGCTTTTGAGGACTCGCCCATGTTATTATACACCAACCCGATGTTGTTGTAAGATTGAGCCAAGTCGGGATGATTCGGAGGGAGAGCTATTTTACGGATTTCAAGTGATCGTTCATGCGATGAAAGTGCTTTTGAGTACTCGCCCATTTTATCATACACGATTCCGATGTTGTTGTAGGTGTTAGCCAAACTGAGATGATTCGGAGGGAGAGCTATTTTCTTGATTTTAAGTGATCGTTCGTACGATGAAAGTGCTTTAGAGTACTTGCCCATTTCATCATACACCATACCGATGTTGTTGTAGGAACCAGCCAAGTCGGGATGATTCGGAGGGAGAGCTATTTTCTGGATTTCAAGTGATCGTTCGTACGATGAAAGTGCTTTTGAGTACTCGCCCATTTCATTATACACTACAGCGATGTTGTTGTAGGAAGCAGCCAAGTCGGGATGATTCGAAGGGAGAGCTATTTTCTGGATTTCAAGTGATCGTTCATGCGATGAAAGTGCTTTTGAGTACTCGCCCATTTCATCATACACCATACCGATGTTGTTGTAGGAAGTAGCCAAGTCGGGATGATTCGGAGGGAGAGCTATTTTACGGATTTCAAGTGATCGTTCATACGATGAAAGTGCTTTTGAGTACTCGCCCATGTTATTATACACCAAGCCGATGTTGTTGTAGGACCAAGCCAAACTGAGATCATTTGGAGAGAGAATTTTCTTGTAGATATCCAGTGATTTTTCGTAATATGAAAGTGCTTTTGAATACTCTCCCATGTTATAATACACCCAGCCAAGTTGATGATTGTATTCCGCTCGACCTTGATCAGAAGACGCCTTTGCGAGGAGAATTTGATAGAGTTGTTCAGCTTTTGCAGGCTCACCCAATTTAATAAGTATGTACCCAAGTCGAGACCATCCTGTGCGGTCACCAAGGTCCTCACGTATATGTGCTGTAAGTGTGTTTAATTCGTGATTGTCATTACCGACAATAGTGAGATTAACTTCGTATAGCCGATCAGAGTGATTATCGTGAATTCGTTCAATGCGATCGATACGAAAAATCGCATGTGTTGAAAAGAGTATTTCTTCCTCTTTATCTTTGTAGTAGCCAACTTTAGTTACTTCGGCAAAAGGTGTCGATGAATTTGTACAAATAGCCGTGTCAATGTTCATAATGAAGAGTATGCCAACTGAATTTGTCTTTAATGCTGCTGGTCGTGTAAAGTTGTTGAAAGATATCTGACGATTACGACTTGTTGATAAGAAGTTATTAAAGGACATAAGTCCTCCTTTGGTTTTTTTCATTTTTTCAAAATCTTCCATGGTCAAACCTTGTCCACGAAAGACTTGAAATTTTGTTGGCATGTTTCCTTGTTGTTCATAATGTAATTTTGTAATATGTTGATGTAAATGACGGATGAAAAAGCCCATTTTCAGGATAATATCGACATCCATTTCTCGGAGTCGACGATTGAGCATGGGATATATAAATGTTTCAGCCGTATACCACCATATTGGTGTATGATCACGATATTCATTTTCGACCTTCCTAATTTGACCTTCATCAACATCATCTTGTAGGCGACAGTACTCTACGAGATCTTTAATTGATTTGACATCGTCATCTTCAATTTCCAAAAGTGCTTCTTTTAATAATTGCGTATACATAAATAAGGCATCACGACCATTAAAGCTGATCGAGATCATTGCTCGATCACAATTTTCACGATCGATTTGCAAGGCCTTACAGATTGGTTTGATTTTTGTGTATACACCTTTAACCTTTGGTACTTTATTGGCCCATTGTTCATGAGCTGCTTGGTTGCGACAGAATACATAGACTGACTCCAGTTGTGGCCATGCTTCAATATCTGCTATTATTTGCCGTCCCAGTGAACCAGATATGATCATAAATACCTTTTGATTTGTGACGGCACTGAGAAAATCAATGCATTCTTGAGCATCTTTAAATGTTTCGATGCTTGCTACAACACGTCGCAGACGTCGAAACGATTTCTTGAAATCGTCATTGGATTCATCCAATTTGGCATCAAGCCATAGAAGCCGGAAATTTTGAAGAACCCGACGCCTAGGTCGAGGCAGCACAGCAGCAGCGCGATTGTTCGCGTTGGTAATAGTGGTGGTGCTAGGCATCGCTGTTGCACCTCTGATAACAGTTGTTGTCGACTTTTGTTTGCTCATTGTAATCGAACGAATGAATATAATCTGTGAAACGAAGTCCCCTATATTTATAATTGTTAAATTTTTTGTTGGTTAACATCATTCCTTTTCTGACTTGTGGCTACAGACTTCAAGAACCTCTACTATCTGGTTCATTTTTGTTTCAAGAGTGTTACCGACAAAATACATCGAACCATAAATAAAGAAGAATGGCTAAGGAAACAAATAGTCGCTGAGGACGGACGACATGACTAGTCCGAAATGTCGAAAATACCTGTCTTAACTAGTTATCCTGACATGAAAACTCCTACAGCTACGTCTGAACTAGTCCAGAATGTCTTCAAACTTCGACATGTCTAACCCGTTTCTCTATCTAATCAGGCCAGATTAGTCGGTAGACCAGAAAAAGAATATTTCTAAAAGTAAAAATTGTGCCTTTCATTGCTGGTACTCGTGTTGAAATTTATGCATAGAAACAGTTACTCTGTTTAATATGTTTTACAATAAGATTGTTTTATACATACAAGATTCTGCAACCAAGACAATCGATTGCATGTTCTGAGTATTATCAAGCGAAGTTCTCTTAAAACTACTTTATAAACATAAAAATAACACATGTTTATGTACCGTCATTTTTTTTGTGTGTAGCTACTCTTTACTTTTAACTTTAATTTTCTTACTAGTCTAATAATGTTAGAAACTAAATATACTTACGTGCTATGTAATATTGGAGTGTAGCAAATTTTGTTTTGTGTGCTTGCAATCGATTTTGTTCTATATTTATCATTGACAAAATTACTTGGTTTTTTCCCACAAACGTATATTTACATGAATCAATGAAGCATGACGTTTTCATCATGTAAACGACTTTTTCAACCATGTGTTCGTCATAAAATACGTTTCGTTTTTCATATATTCTACTTCTTCCTTTTTTACCTTACCTTTGCGTTTCGTGTTGTTGCAATGATAAAAAATACACTGATGCTTGTATAAGCGTAAATTTGAGTAATGATGATTCATTAGACGTTGAACTTTATTCTAATCTCTATATAAATATTTTCTATCGTAAAATTTTTTTTTGAAATTGATAATTATAGAAGTAGTGTTGAAAGCTTCAAAATAAATAAATGAAAAATTTTATATTTTTTATTTTATCGTTCGATGTATGAAAAACTCTATTTATCACGCAAACTTCGTTAGATGCATCCGAAGAAAGTATGGCGAATGTGCTTTAAGAAGACTCAGGCATTTTGAAAAGTGGGTGTGAGTGTTTGTATTGCTTATTCCTACACATCCCGACCCTCAATTATTTGGTTTAAATATCTAAGAATTTCAATCATAATCAAGCAATAATCAACAATCAATGAATAGAAGTAAAAAATATTGATACAAATGAATAACATCTTTCAATCAGTATTCAACAAATAATGAATGATTTTAATTTCAATGTAAATCTTTTTTTAGTGGGTTGATATGGTATGGTATGTTATATTTTTTTACAACATAATGATCATAATGTTGTATCAAGTTCATTGGAAACACATGAAATTATACTTAAATATTCAAATTTATTTGATTTTGATCAATTATTAATTTCAACCCCAATTGGATCTATAGAAGAAATTCGTGTCAGTGAAGCCTTAAAAACAGGTAAATATTGAGAAAAAAAAACAAGAATTTTTTTCATTTGTTTTTTTTCTAAAACAATAGCTTATTCAACATATCAATGTTGTTTTATTGAAATGAATGATAAATTCGATTCAACATCAATGATTAATAATGAAAAACGAACAATAAGCTGCTAAACTTGTTAATCAATTATATTTTTTTCCGATTAGATATATACATAATATGGATGGTACGATAAAAAGTGATGATGAATCATGTATTAGTGTTAAAAGTGCTATACCAATATGTCAAATCGTATTTATAAACAATTTGATCCATTTGTTTATCTTACTAAAAGTATATTTAATTCTTGTTTGACTTTTTTTTATAATCCAAAATTATTTCTAATATCGTAACAGTAGGAGGTCTAGGTGAAGGGGATTGTGGCAGAGTTTAGTTGACGTGGCTTCTATGGGTTAATGTCTCAAAGTTTTAGTGAAAGTTATCTGATAGATATGACAATTTCACTATTAAATTGTTGAAACATATATATATATATTGGAATCTAAAAATTGAAGAACGGAGATTTCTCAATATTGATTCAGCAGCGCTAGTCCTATTTCTACTTTTAATTTTTTTGAAACCAACAAAAGACTAGAACATTATCAGACTCGAAAAGATGTCAAGTAGAACATTTTATTGAAGCTCAAAGTCTGTATTGATACATCAGAGATTGAAATTATACAATCACATAACTACCTCAAAAAAAATTCTAAGCCGAAGTTCGAGTTATGAAATCAATTGTATCCTCTAAGAAGTTTTTCTTTAGTCTTTGAAGATTTCTGATTAAATAAAAATTTTGTAACTGATATGAAATTTCCTAATGAGAAAAATGAAATTCACATCTCTATATGACTTGTAATACATTAAAATTTATCGAACATCAAGGTATCTTTTTTTTAAGATATTACATATCTTTTATCTTTATGTGAATACGGTGATCTACATTTACGTGGTGCATGTGCAAATTTACTTATTACATTAATTCAAATAACAAATCATCTTTTAACACTATCATCATTATCAAATTCATTTAATAATTCTTTTATTAATTAATGCTCACTTGTATCAACTGATTCACAAGAAGTTCAAGGTTATATGTCTTAATGATAATAATGCACGTGTTATACATGTTTCACTAAATGCTTTACGAACATGATTACCTTTTTTTATTAATTAATAGTCATGCATTTACAATCATAGGAATTAAATTATTAGAAGATTCTATTCAACATACTACAAGTTCCTGTACTTTTGCTAAAATAGATAAAAGAAATTTATGATTATAATAATTTTTTTTTGTATGTATATAAAATAGTTTGCTCTAGCTCAACTTATGAATGATATTGATTTTCGAACATTAACTTATCTTGAACAACAATTAAAACAACAGTACCCTGATATACGTGTTCGTCAAGCAATTGCTTCGACTTTTGCTAAGTATGCATTTTGTAGAGATATTAACTATTGTCGCCGCCAGAAGTAGATGAGGAAAACTCTGAAAGGAATATCTCCAGAACGGATGCAGCTAGCGAGCTGATCTTTTCACCATTAGAAAGAGGATACTCTGGGGTATAAGTGTACACTATATTCATTCGGTTAACGTTTGATCAAGGTTGTTAGTTATCATTGAAGATTTTGTGCGTTCAGAACAAGAACGTTTTTCATATGAGTTCTCAACTCCAAGATGATCATTCGATAGCGCAAGGTCTCCTCTTTTGATCTACCCAAACCCGACCTTTCTATCATTCACCGTTCGAAAGTTATTCTCGCTACACTGAGCGTCTGTAACGTATCAAA